ATTGCTATTTATTTCTCAATAAAATCATGGGCAAAAAATATCAGCCCAAGATAGACACAGACTGTTTTTCACTCAAACAAGCAGCACTTCCATGTGAGCCCTGCTGGACGCCAGGACCACCTGAGACACAAGGTTGCCTCCATTCTGGCTGTAACCCAGCCTGGAACCAGTGCTGACTCTGTGTCCACGAAGGGGATGGAGAAAGAAAGAGAAAATGAAAACACAAGTTTTGTTTTTCTCTCTAAATCCCTGAAGTTACACATCAGCGGGCTCCGGGTTTCCCAAGTGAGGAGCCCAGGGCTGCACTGTGGTGTGTAGGACTGGGGAGATCGTCCTCGCAGGAAGGGCAGGAATGCAGAACTGTTCAGGCAGCAGGGAGGAGAGACCAGGGCTCCCAGTGCCAGGGGACCCAGGGGCTGCTGGGATCTTAGGCCCTAGGGGGGAATCCTATGGGCTACCTTAAGGAGGCTCCTCAGCTGCAGCAGAGCTCAGGCGCTCAGGAAGTGAGGGTCAGATTCCTCTGCCTTCAGCACAAAAACACTGCACTCCCTACAGGCCAACCTCAGGTCCACACTGCGCTCCCTACAGGCAAACCTCAGGTCCACACTGCCCTCCCTACAGGCCAACCTCAGGTCCACACAGCCCTGGTATGGCGGGCCTCCGAGGGAGTCCTGGGGTGCAAATGACCAGAATGAAAGCAGGAGGCAAGAGCAACCGCTGAAGACTTCACGGCCAGCCTTTCCTGAAGCCAAGGCCAGGCCTCAGGTGGCCACGCGATGTCTCACCACAGCTGGAAGCTCACCCATGGAAAGGGGACTGGGAGGGAGGGAGGAAACCGAGCTGTGTCCCTCCCTGCGCTCACTCCGTGGGGAATGTAATCACATTGCATTTACTGCACATGTGCATTGAAAAAATAAATCTTTTTCGAGACAAACGTTCACCCGTCTCTTACTAAGTGTCTTCTGGACCCCAGCTCTGTTCCTCTGAGGCTTTCCAAGTCAGCTAGAGAGAATTCCAGTCTTCTGGTTGTCCAGGACAGCACAAAACCAGCGTCACCCCGACCCCTCCCTCTCCCTAGCGCCCAGCTGATCCGTGGGCTCCCCTGAGGACACAGGTCCCATCCCTTTCCTCACTCCACAGCTCGTTCCCAGGGCCCTGCTGCTCGCTTCCCA